TGTTATATGTCCATAACATATTTTACTAATTGGAAAAAAGCTGAAATTTAACATGATTTTACCCTATTAAAATTCGTTTAACACGAAACTTTACTAATGTAATAAATTAAGAGTTCTTTTCGTCCGGCCGACTTGTCAAAGAAAAATTAAAAAACGATAAAATAACTCTTAAAATACAAAGTTACAAGATAGTTCGATCCAAATTACGACCTGTGTTTTAAACAATGTAGAAAGGGCCCCACCTCGTCAATGAACGCCGACCAAGTTATATCGTTTCCAAAAGTTGGGAAGGGCCAGTTATACAAAGTTTTTTTTTTTTTAACGAAAACTTCCTCAATATAATCTAAATTCTGACGAACCTGCGCCATATTTTAATAAATGCTACGAGTTCTGCCAGTTCACTCACTGTCATTAACATCGGGGAGATCTCAAATGTGATTTGATTTATGAAATGTAAGTATTTCTAATGCGCTTAAGTAGGCTGAAGCAAGTTAATAAGTCTAGTTTAAGATTTACTTTTATAATAATAGCACAACTGTAGTTTATTCAAAAAACTTAGCTCTTTAGACTATAATGTTAACTTCGTATTAAAAGAGACGCAGGTGGTTAAATCAGTTTGTACTTAGGACACACTTATAATGTACATTATGTCAGGGATAGAGACGAGGCCCAGGAGCACGTGGCGGCGGCTGTGGATGCTACGTGACACGTATCTATTACGTTACGTAAGGACACGCATCACGGCCGTCCATAAGGAAACACTTCTTGTCAAATGATATACGCGCTGTTCCTATAGTAATCACTTAAGTACATCCCTTGAACCATACCTTCCCGAACAGGCAATTGATACTTAGGCGAAGCTATAAACTTATTTGCAAGGTTATCTGTGGTGAACCCAAAGACTTTTTTTGGTTTTTTTTTCATTGAAGTTGATACCTTTATCGGCTGAAGAAGAAAGTAAATCTCCCGCCCTCAAACCTATTTAATTAGATCTGATCTAATCTGATATATTCTATAACCGTTTCGATAATTAGGGACTGAACTGGTGAACATTAAATTAAATTAAAACATTTTAGTGTTGTGTCGTCGAACAGGCAATTGATACTTAGGCGAAGCTAAAAACTTATTTGCAAGGTTATCTGTGGTGAACCCAAAGACTTTTTTTGTTTTTTTTTTCATTGTAGTTGATACCATTATAGGCCGAAGTAGGAAAATAAAACTCCCGCCCGTTTCGTTATTGTATAAATGAGTTTCAGTGATTCATTTTTATTCGTATCATGGTGTGACATTGGAAATTACAAATATGTAGTTTTTAACTTTTGTAACTGAAATAATCGACCACGCGGCCTTAACTCGCACTTGTCCAGTTTATTATATTTTTCTTTCTCAACAGAGAAACATCTCTTAATCGTGAATTAGCGTTTTAGATTAAATATTTGCTACTTGTTTGTTACGAGTACCACGAGAAACTACAAGGTTTTCTCTAAAAAAATCGAATCATTAACAAACTAAATTAAAAGTAAACATTGGCCGTTTCTCGTGTCTCTTTATTTTGTTTTATAATTATTTGGAATTCTAGTCACTAACGTTTACACAGCGATCGTTAAGATTTCCATTTAATTAAGCATAAAAGCTGCCAAATAGAAAAGCTACAAAAAGATAACAGCGCTCTAATTAGGATCTGCCAACCATTTAATTAGAACCGAGAGTGCAAAGTGAAATTATAAAATGTTTCATTCAGCGCGGAAAGTGGATTGTTTTGTTATAAATAAGAAGCTTGGTCTGTACCCTTAGTACGAGTTTGAGCTCACGAAAACTGTCGTAGTTTTCGTAATTGTAAATTATGTTTCTATCTCTATTTTGGGGAAAAGTAACTAAATATACTTTAAATTTAAGAAGACGCAAATGATTTAATGATAGAATTTAAACAAGTTTATTTCTATTGAATCGAAAACAATAAAATCAGTACCCTTAGTACGAGTACGAGCTCACGAAAACTATCATAGTTTTCGTAATTGTAAAACTCTTATTAGAGTTACTGGAGTTAATATACTCGTATAATGATCATATAATATTTCCAACACTCGCACAAATTAGCCTAGCCCCAAAGTAAGCACTGTAAGGCTTGTGTTATGGGATACTAGGGTAACGGATAGAATACATATACTGTATATGTATATATATAAGTATATTTATGTAGAAATACATAGTAGTGAGGAGCTCGATGGCGCAGGTGGCTAGCGCGTTCGGCTGCGATCGTTGAAGTTAAGCAACTTTCGCAGTGGTCGGTCATTGGATGGGTGACCAAAAATTTACTATCTCGAGCTCCTCCGTGCTTCAGAAGGCACGTTAAGCCGTTGGTCCCGGCTGCATTTGCAGTCGTTAGCACCCACCAATCCGCACTGGGCCCGCGTGGTGGGTCATGGCCCAATCTCCCTATTCCATCCATAGGGAAGGCCTGTGCCCCAGCAGTGGGGACATTAATAGGCTGATGATGATGACATAGTAAGCATCCATGATTGGAGTACAAATGCTCGCATTCATCACACAAACATCTGCCCCCACCGGGACCACTCGAGTCGGCGAAACCATGAAATCCGGCGTACAAACTACTCGGCCACGTAGGTCGGCATCAGTTGGGAAAAGTCAAATTAAATGATACTCTGCACCAATAAATGGATGATGATTTGCGTTGCAGACGATACGGACAAGATAAATTCGTTGAGTTACTCTAATTAATATTGACCCGTCGTTGTCATCCCATTTTTGCATGTATGAGCGACCATCTATGATTTGAGGAGCTGACGAACAAAACATTCTATAAATAACATAAGATAAAATTTTACGGGATCTGTAAAAAACTGAATGAGTATGTTCAGTACAGTTAGATTTTGGCGTGGTTTTATTTTTTAAAAAATTAGTAATTTTTACAAGGTTTTAGGCGGTTTTGATTGAAAAGTTAGTTGAGATTCAAATTCAGCGGGCGCAAAACCTCCGGCCTGTAAAAAAAGTAGTTTGACCAGAATGAGCACCGCTTTATGATGTATAACGCGTTTTTATCACGCTCAACTGTCAAATTACTATGGAGTTTGACAGTTAGACGCGATAAAAAACGTGATATAATGTAAATTGTGGTGCTCATGCTACGGGGACAGATGCGTAAATTATACCGTTTTGTTCGACAGTTCCTCATTTAGGGAAATCAACAAAATATTAGTACCAACGTTTCTCTTCAAAAGTAAGTAGGAAATGAATTGTATTCGCTTCCTTCTTTCTTACTTTGTTATCCGGTACTAAAGATGTTATACAATGACATAAGATACACATTTGGTATAAAAATAATAGTTGTCTTATTTCGAAATGACGGTGCTAGCTGCGTGTAAATTGTGTAAGTACAAACAAAATTGTATCCATTTTTATCGTACCCAAACACGGAACCTTACCTATTGCGCCGTGTCGTCTGTCTGTCTGTTCAGGGGTCTTTAGATCGTCAACGGAATGAATTACAGATTTTATGTAGAATGCTTGTCCAAAGCCGAATATTTTGTTGAAAATTCAAATAAATTAATTTTTTGTCTTAGGTGGTCCCATACATGAAAATAAGACGATATTCATTATTTTTTTCTCCCAATGATGTATCATACACATCATTGCATACAGCTCGTTGAGTAGGTGAAATATAATTTTTATTATTTTTAAATTTCAATAACAAAGAAATGGAGGTCCGTCAAAATTGTCATTTATAATCCATTTTTGATACGGAGTCTTTAAAAGGATTTAAAAGTTTTGCTACCTATTTGAATTGCTTTTGTATTGTTTAACCACATACAATATGACGAAGTATATTTCGTTATAGCAATATTTGATTATTATAATAAATATTTCGAACACTCACACCAATTAGCCTAGCCCCTAAGTAGCGCTCTAAGGCTTGTGTAATGGGATACTAAGGTAACGGATAGAATACATATACTGTACATATATACGTATATTTGTATAGAAATACATATCAAACATCCATGACAAACATTTAGTGAGGGCCACCGGACTTTTTAGTCTTAAAAGTTACGATAAGCAAGTCAGTGTTACATTACATCTAATGTAAAATTGTATCTCCCAAACCCTATCGTTTAGACAATAAAATACCAATATTGGGAAGGTACTAAACTGCGAGCACTGGACGCTATATAAACGCATAACGTACCTCCAGCTGCTGTGTTTTCCCAACAAAATGTACTTACATATAAGTGAGCGTACGAATTAGCGGACAGGGCGGCCCGTCGCATCGCTATTGTTTCTGCGACCTAACCGATATTAAATTTTGTGTCCCCGCCGTTTGAAATGAGAGTGGAGTAAATATGTACTAACATGTAATTTACGACGACGAGTAAATTCTATGCAAACCGTAAATTTTGACCATTATCTAGGGGTAGTGAGATTGTAATCTGTCGTTGGCCAGCCGCATTGTTGTGACTTTTCATGTGGCGAAACGTCGTCTCTGTTCATTGAATTACAAATGGCACTTGAGTGATATGACAAAAGACGGCGTAACTAGTCTAAACCTATTACTCGTTATTAAATAAAGGGGTCTGTGTTTGTTTTTTTATAAAATTACGACTTTAGAATCTGTTGTTGATTAGTTTAAGTATATTTTTTTACGAAAATTACAATCTCATCAAATCATCTATTTGATGAGATTGTAATTTTGTATTTTTTTTTATCAAAATTGCACGAAAAAACATGCGCGAAGTTAATTCGGAGCATAGGCATACATAGAGAATGGACTGCGAGTTACCTAAAAACTGTGAAAAATCTGTGCAGATATGTGTAAGATTGATCTACCGAGCTACTTACAGTTCGTATATTTTTGGTTGTTTCTTGTCTTTCTAGAGAGTTTAAATATCATGTTAGCATCGCACAGTCCATTGTCTATGTCCTGGGTTCCGAACCTGGGGGTAATTACTCCTCCGGGGGTACATCAGCCATACTTCGGGGGTAACAAAGAACCTAATTATTTGGTCAAATCTAAATAATAAGAAAATACTATATAATAATATTACTAAATAGAGCATGCGCTCCTTCTTGCTAGCGAGCCCGCGGTGCTGAGTGTGGGAAGCGGGTTGAGATTTTCTCCTGATGATGACATTGTTAGAGACGAAGATGTAGCGGCCAGATTGGAATTTCTTGAACTGTTGATAACATCTTGAAGTCGGGGTAAAATCTGTTTTCCTAATAGGTTACAGGGGTAGCAATATTCGAAAGGTTAGGAAACACTGGTCTATGTGAATGAGTCGAAGCGAGCATAAAACTTACTTGAGACGCTGCTCGCACGCGCCGGGTTAAACGAAGTGGGTCGGCGTACGGCCACACCGCGCCTCGCTCGCCGGCGCAGGCACGGCAGAGCCTGCCGCAACGCGCGCCGGAAGTTCTGCCCGCTCAGGCAGTACAGCGCAAAGTTTATGCCGAAGTTGCTGTTGAAGAACAGCAACGCCACCTGCTGCAACGCTGTCCAACGGCCGCTGTACTCGGCAGCGCTCTGCAAATAAACGACATTTTTAGACCAGCAGTGGTATTCTGTAAATTTTTTACAGAATGGCATTGCTGATATATCTTGGGGAGTGAGATAGTAATCTGTCGTTGTCCAGCCGCATTATTGTGTCCTTTTATGAGGCGAAATGCTAATCTCCCTATTAATAAATGAGGTTTAACTTTAGTCTACGGTTTGTAAGAAGGGGGATAATGTTTACGAACAGACGACATTCACTGCGACTGAAACTAAAAGCAGCTGTGAAGTTAGCACAAGTCGCTGCACAGTGAACGGAATGCAGGATGATGTAGGCGCGAACGGGATGTCAGTGAACTAAGATCCGCCCGCTACTAACTTCAGAACTGCCATAAAGTTTGAGCGCTTCATAGGTATTTGGTATGTAGCTTACGATAGATATTTTCTGAACCTCTGCATCTATTTTGTTGACGAAGGAGTTTTATTTTATTACGCGTCATTAGTAGATTCAATGAGCTTCTTTTTAGAACCTTAGGTAAATGAGCGTCTTAAAATTTTAGTTTAAACCAACAAAATTATTCGACAATTTTACTTTTCAAAATTCTGCACTGCTAAACGAGAAGTTGACTGACGTACGCAGTAAGAGATACCGCTCTCCATGGACATGAGCCGTCTGGATCTAATTAAAAGATTAGCTCTGTGAGCCAGCCAGATTCCGCTCGCATATCTACTTATACCATCATTTGATCTTTTGTACATTATTATTTAAATATTTATTTTTTATATTACGAGTGCAAACGATCACTACGTCTGTGTTTAACCGACTTTAAAAAGGAGGAGATACTTAATTCGTCTGTTTATTTTTTTGTTCGCTTACTTTTAAAATTCTTGATTTGTTTGAATCAGTTTTTTGACGATATGCTACCATATTAATTTGAAGAAGATCTAATGAGAACTTTCGGAGAAAACAATAGAAATCCTGAATTCCAAAAGAAAGAATAATATGCCCTTTTTTCGAAGGCAGACAATCGTAGAATAGTAGAATCAGTCAGACGCAAAAAGATGACCCAAAGTTCTATGATGATATTAGTTTGATTTTTATGGTAATGTTATGTGTTTATAGTGCCGCGTTGTTGAGTAATTGTCACAATGAAGGGTGAACTGACATAAATTATAACGTGCCCTCTCCCAAAACGTGTAACAATGAACTCTATGTTAATCCACATTTTAATGAATATCATTATAATTTTAATAATTTCACCATGTTATAATTATAATTACTCTACATTTTTGCGGCCCGTTAATGTAAATAGATAAGTCTATTGGTCCACAAGGAAAGTCTGTACGTGAAATCCCTTATTTGTAAAGCTTCGTGATTAATTTGGACTGGCATCATCTCACTACCGTTATCTCAGTCTGTTTTACGATTACGTTTTCTTAATTCCGACAAAAGCTTCTTTGTCAAGGAGAACGAACGAGATCTTCTAATTTTGTAAATATATTCATATTTAATCTGACCCAGAATATGGTAGCTAGGTAAGTACTTTAATATCTTTATTTTTATGGCGGCATGCGGTAGAGCATATCTCGTGAACCTTTTAGGTAGACGTTTAAGTTTCCCATGTGTATTTGCTATTGCCACTATGAAAATATAATAAGTTGAATGTTTATAATCATAAAGTTTTATTTCGGCATTTTTGCACGACCTTGACAATCGCATGGTTTTCAAGTGAAGAATTTTGTACTATTGTAAATAACCCTACATATGCGAATCCGTCCGACACGCATTGGACCGTTTTTCGATGACTATACATCATCAGAGCCATTAATCAATACGAAATAAAGACGGATTGTATTTTGAGCATCAAACCTGTCATTGACATATCTGGGAGCACGGTAATGCCCCCGCCAACACAACAATACGAGCCAAGCTAAGCGCAAAATATATAAAGATTTAATTGCATAGCTCTGATACCTTAGATTTTATTGATAAGAAACCTAATAAGAAACCTGATTTCGCCACTGACGCACTGATGATCTTCTTATTGTATTTCCTAATGTCTTAAAAAGCCGAATTTTAGTATGTAAGCTAGTAAAAGTACAATTAAAAAAAGTTTGCTTTAAAAGCTTTTAACCCCAGCTTTTACTAGTGGATGGAAGTTTGTATAGGACTTTCGCAATTTTGACACTAGAGGTCTGAAAGTTTATAAGAAGACTCCTTGTTATTATAAAGAATGCAAAAATACGTAATATAATAACAAATCAAAAATATTGAATACATTGTCACAAACAACTTATAAAGCGAAATGAAATCCCACCATGACTTTTTGACAGTGAGAGTCATTTGGTCACGTCTTGGCAAAAAATTTACATGTAAATATTTTTGGTGGGATTAAATATTCCTGATAATGAAATGGGTAGGTCAGATAATAATATTATTATGAACAAAATACATACATAACATGCGCGTGGCTAAAGAGACAAATGACAATTCTAAAAGCACTGCCTATTGCTATCGTCAAAATATTTTGGGTTAAGTCTTATTGATTAATGCTTCCTATGAAATGGTCTCTGTATATGACAGGAAAAGGTTTGGCAATATCTGGGGTCAGGATTTAAAAAGATATTAAATCAGTGAAGGAAATATATCAAGGAAACCTTATTCGGGATTAATAAGAAAAATGTTTGTATATATAAATAAAAAGAAACAGCATATTAATACTTTTTAAATAACGAACAGTGCTCTGAATAATGTTTATGCAATTGTGCTATCTAATAACAAAGCCACATTTCGGTCGGGACTAGTTACAAGTAATATACATACGTAGGCGTAACAATGCGTATTAGAATACTTGGCGGTTTTATTAAAGCGAGCTCGCATCGCTTGTTACATGACGCCATTATCGTGGGTTAGGAGCGGACGAAAACTGAGAGACATTTGAGAAATAGGTATTTAATAAAACTATTGCTGTGTCCCGCATTCGCAAATACCGTGCGATAGGAACAGTAGCTAACGCTGAAAATTAAAAAAAATGCAAAATTCGAAGATTGGCTCGACGATTATCCCCTCGAAAATTATTCTTTATGTAAAAGGAAATTTTCTCATAGAATTAGAAGTACTTATAGTAGACCTCTATGTTTTTCTTTTTTGTAAATGCTTATTGAATCTCCAGACAAGACGTCTTTGGTGGTGATAAAAATTTGTTTATTTATGGCATTTTTGAGGGCTTCTAGGTTCTTTCAAAAACAAGTTATCGAAAAAAATGGAAGACATAGAATGAGTAAATTTTATTTTATCCATGAAAATCATTTCATTAGTGATAAAAATCAATCGAGAACGCTTGTATGGAAAAAACATTGCCCGCCTCTCCCCTCTTAAGACACAGCTAGAAAACCTCTGTCAATGCAGACGAGTCGAGGCGCATTGTGTCGGTCGAACCTATGTCACGTCGCGATCGACCCTTGTTTCACCCCCCATTTTTAATTAGGATGAGAATCATTACACGTATTTTACATGGGCACAAAACAACCCCACCGCGGAACGATAATAATAATAATGTTTGTCTATCGGATGTTCTGTTGCCAATCCATAACATTACAAAGCTTTGATTGTCGAGAACAGCAAAACTGCTAGAATTAAGACGTTAGTCTAGTAGTAGTAATTTCATTCTTAGATATATACTTTCCTTTTGTACCTCTTTCTATAGGAAAACCCCCACTTTCAATCCCTTCTCCGCGACATTCAATACAATCAATGGCAAAAATTATTTCCGCGACATTTAATACAATCAATGCAAACATTGTTTTGAATTTTACTATCAATAGGTATGATTATTTTCAATACCTACTATCGATAATGTAACATCTCTATTTCATCAACCGATGAACGGTACCACCAAACCTTAGTCGTGTAATAACGTAGTAATGAATAGCAATCACTTATTTATATGCATTGATGATTGAGCATTAACTTAAGTGTTAAACAATTAACTAAAGTTCAATAACGCGTAACAAACTTTGTCGCACTATCTGTAAATGGAATGCTCTGCAACACGCAGGCCGGCACGGTGAGGCTGTTGTGGCAGGTAGAACTGCTGTACGAGCTATCTTCGCGTCTAGACTTCACCGTCACTTAACATCAGATGAGGCGGAGTCATTTGTCGGACCTACCGATAAAAAAAAACCTTTGTCAATTTATTTTAATTTGTACTTTGCTGAGAACATTGCTCCATCATGGTTGATTTTAAGTAAAATTGTCAACATATATTTTTTTTTGCGTCGAAGACTGCATTTGCTGCTGTATTTTAAGCCTTAACATGACAAATTAATTTGTACATAGTGAAAAGCTCCCGCTTAAAAGTTTCGACCGATGTCTAGTCCGATAGAGCTTGTAATAAACCTATATTGATCCGTGTCTGGGGAAATTTTGCTGATAAAATAGTGGAGAATTCTTAATATTAACTTGTTTTTCACAATAGTTCAGCTATACAGTACCTTAATCATTACTATAGGTAATATTTATGTGGCTTCGATATCTAATAACTTTCTTTATACGATACGGAATCCTATTAAGTATTATAAATATTAAATCACAAATTCTATTTTTATGCATTGCAATTAGTACGATAAAAATTTCGGTTTTTTTCAATTGACTTTCCTTTTCTTGGTCCCGTATTTTTATTCTTACTAGCGGCCGGCCGCGGCATTTTTTAAGAATCCTGCAGAAACCTTAATTTTTTTCCGGGATAAAAAGTGTCCAATGTCTTAAACTATATGCGTACATTTTTTTATCCAAATCCATTATTTTATGGGTAATTTTTGGAAATTCACATTTATAATCACACTTATATTATAAACCACCCAACAAACCGCATTGGGCCCGCGTCGTGGGTAATGGCCCAATCTCCTTATTCCATCCATAGGGAAGGCCTATGCCCCAGCAGTGGTGACATTAATAGGCTGATGATGATGATGATGAATATTATAAAGGCGAAAGTTGGTGATGTTTGTTACTTCTTCACAACTAAACGGCT